CCTGAGTCTACTCATTCCTGTGTGACTTTGGACAAATCACTCAACCTCTCTGAACCTCTTTCCTCAACTGACAAATGGGGAGATGACCTAGGTCATCTCTAAAGGCCTTCCCGCTTTCTCAGTCTCCTCTCTCAAGCACCAGGATCTTGCCCCACAGTCTTTTCTCAAAAACAACTTTTTTTTTGTTTTGAGACAGCGTCTTGCTCTGTCACCCAGGCTGGTATGCAGTGGCACAATCTCGGCTCACTGCAGTCTCCACCTCCTGGGTTCAAGCAATTCTCGTGCCTCAGCCTCCCAAGTAGCTGGGACTACAGATGTGTGCCACCATGCCCAGCAAATTTCTTGTATTTTTTGGTAGAGATGGGGTTTCGCCATGTTGCTCAGGCTGGTCTCGAACTCCTGGCCTCAAGTGATCCACCCGCCTCAGCCTCCCAAAATGCTGGGATTATAGGCGTGAGCTACCACACCCAGCCAAAAACAACTTTACTGGGTGAAAAGAACACTGGGTAAGAGTCAGAGAGACCTGACCTTGGAATCTAGTTTCTACTGGAACTAGCTGTGTGAACTTGAGCAAGTTAATTAACCTCTCTGAGTTTCCACTTCCTCGTCTATAGAATAGGGATCCTGACACCCAACCCATGAAACTGGAATGAGGCTTACCTGAAGTCATGTCCCTAAAACATTTAGTGTCTGGCATCTGGTGTGTGCTACAGAAATGTTGACTGTTATTGTTATTAGCTATTATTATTTATAATTTACTGACTGCTTGCTCTGTGCCAGGCATTGTGTCAAATGTTTTAAGATGTACTAACTCATTTAATCCTCACAGCCATGCTATGAGATAGCTCCATCTTATAGATGAGGAAACTGAGGCACAGAAGGGTTAAGTAAATTGCTGATGGTCACACAGCTAAAAAGCCATGGAATTGATCCATAAACCCAGGCTGTCTGGATGCAAAGCCTGCCCTATTACCCACCAAGCTGCACTGTCTCAAATACTACTACTTTCCGGAAGAATGTTCTCTTTGCTTGTCCAAGCCCAGAGAGAATTCCAGCAGAGGTGAGGATGGAGTAGTAGCTGAATCCAGTTGCTTAAATCCAGGGATGAGAAAGATGTCTTACCCTAATGCGAGATGAATGTCCAGGGCATTAACTTGGGCTGGCCCAAGTGCAGTGGCCCACACAGGTAATCGCAGCACTTTGGGAGGCCAAGGTGAGAGGATTGCTTGGGCTTAGGAGTTCCAGACCAGCCTAGTCAACATAGCGAGACCTTGTCTCCACTAAACATTTTACAAATCAGCCACGTGGTAGCACGTGCCTATGGTCCCAGCTGCTCGGGGAAGCTGAGATGAAAGGATCATTTGAACCTGGGAGATCGAGACTGTGTTGAGTCATAATTGTGCCACTGCACCCCAGCCTGGCCGACAGAGCAAGACCCTGTCTCAAAACTAAAATAAAAATAAAAATAGGCCAGGCGCAGTGGCTCACACCGGTAATCCCAACACTTTGGGAGGGAGTTTGAAACCAGCCTGGCCAACAAGGTGAAACCTCATCTCTACTAAAAATACAAAAATTAGCCAGGGGTGGTGGTGGGCACCTGTAATCCCAGCTACTTGGGAAGCTGAAGCAGGAGAATTGCTTGAACCTGGGAGGCAGAGGTTTCAGTGAGCCGAGATTGTGCCACTGCACTCCAGCCTAGGCAACAAGAGTGAAACTCTATCTCAAAATAAAATAAATAAAAATAAGTTGGGCCACACTGATTATTTCCTGGCCCTACGCCTAATATTTTATCCATTGAAAACCTGCCAAAGTGCAACTGGGACCAGCTTTCTTTAACGGGGACAGCAGAGAGGGCCTGACTGGGATGTTGCTGTGTGTTTGCTACCAGTGTAAGTTTCTGGGTTTCTGTGGACGTATGAATGTGTGGAGTAGGAGACGGTGGTCTTGTCTGCGTGGCTGGACTGCGAGGTCTTCCTCAATGTCTGTTGCTCAACACTGTAGACAGGCAGTGTGGGGGTGCCTGTCCCACCTCTCCCACCCACAGGATGTGTGACCTGGGGCAAATGACTCACCTCTTTGTGCCTTAGTTTCTTCATGTATATAAAAATTGGATGATGGTAATAATAGGGTTATTCTGAAGATTAAATGAGATTGCCCATGTAATGTGCTTAAAACACTGCTGGCCACTTATGAGAAAGTAGCTAATACCATCAGCTTATATGTAGTAGACATGCTTAAGTATGTAACCTGTGGGTTTCTGTATATTTACACAGGACACCTGTGGTGTACAATGGAGAGGATATGAGGGCCTGGCGGGGACGAGCTCTCTGTGATTTGTGGAGGAGATGCGCTTATATAAGTATGTGCACAAACGTGTGTGTGCTTGTGTACACATACGTGTGTGTTGTGTGTACAGCAGATGCATGCGCCTTCTGCACATGTGTGAGGACGTTCACCGCCAGGACCCAGGTTACCACACAAACAGTCTCCATCCCTAGGATAAGTCACTGAGGCTCACGTGTGCCTCAGTACCTTCATCTGTACAATGGGTGGAGTCACTACCCCAAAGGGAGCTGTGAGGCCCAAGTGAATTGAGGATGTGAAGTTCTGAGCCATTGCAAAGTGCCAGTTACATAGTAGTGGCTTGTGCTATGTGTTCTGAGAGAGCCGAGCTTACTTATTGACACTCCTGGGTTCCTAAGTGCCAACGCTGTTTGTGTGGGCTGCAGAGTTCGCCCTGGTGTACCGAAGATCCCAGCCTGTTGTAGTCAGAAGAGCCAGAATTGGAAACCTACCAAAGCGAAACTGGGAACAACCTTCTTCACTGGGGGCAGCAGTTTCAGTTCAATTTCTTCACTGGGGCATCCAAGGCCCAAAGAAGGGTAAGAACTTGCCTCAAGACACCCAGCACGCTGGAGGCAGAGATGGGGTTAGATCGAACCAGTCTCTCTTGTCCTTCTGGCATAGTGGGAGAACCCCCATAGGGGTCAGGGATTGCAGCCCTCACCCCTCACTGCTCTGCCCTCCCCGCCTTCCCCAGCATCCAGCCGTCACTGCTCCAGCAGGAAGGTGTGTGTTTTGGCAGCCGCACTGTCTGGGCTGCCTGTGGTGGGAATTCCACATGTCTGGAGAGGACCCGTCTGCAGTAGTCCAGTCCCAGCCCCCAGCCCTGCTTCACCGACTGGTCCAGGGTTTGGCCTGCTTCCCCGAGACTAGGTTCAGCCTGGGAATCCTCAGAGGTTGCTAGAAGAGTAGTCTGAGGATTGCAAATTCTTCATCTGTGTTTTTTATATAACACCTTTCTGTTGTAAGTCTATCCCCTTGTATTTCAAAAGTAATGCTTGTTATTTTTGGGGAATACAAGTAATGAAAGAGAAGAAAATTGAACTCTTAACCTAGGACTTCAGCAACTCAGAGACCAATGAGACTTTACACACACACACACACACACGTCCATTATCTACATACTCATACATTCACCTGGGGACACATGTGATCCAAGAACACTCAAACACACACGCATGTAAGTATGCTTGTACATTCATACACAAGTGCATACTGTCATAAGTACACACGTACACACAAACACATTCACACACACACTCCTAGACTGCATACTGTGTGCCAGCCACTGTACTAAGGCTCCACAAATGTTCACTCATTTCATCCTCGAAGCAAGGCTACAATGTAGGCACCATTATTTCTCCCATTTTACAGATGAGGCACACAAAGGTTGAGTAACCTTCCCAACACCTAGTTAGTGAGGGGGTGGGATAATGGAGATTTGAACCCAGATTTGTGGGCTTAATTAATTTGCTGATGAATAGGCTGTGTTTGAGTGGTATCATGACGAACATTCCCCTAGGCTTTTTTCCTTATGCATCTATATTTGGTTTGGTTAGAAAATAGCATCTTTGGCTAATATAAAAAAATTAACCGAGTGTGGTGGTGCACGCCCGTGGTCCCAACTATTCAGGAGGCTGAGGTGGAAGGATCACCTGAGCCTGGGAGGTGGAGGTTGCAGTGAGCCGAGATTGTGCCACTGCATTCCAGCCTGGACAACAGAGCGAGACTCTGTCTCAAAAGAAAAAAAAAGAAAGACAGCCTGTCCAATATGGTGAAACCCCATCCCTACTAAAAAATACAAAAATTAGCCAGGTTTGTTGGTGTGCACCTGTAGTCCCAGCTACTTGGGAGGCTGAGGTAGGAGAATTGAGGTTGCAGTGAGCCGAGATTGTGCCACTGTGCTCCAGCCTGGGCGACGAAGTGAGACAAAAAACAGAGGAAGGGGAGGGGAGAGGAGGGGAGTGGAGTGGAGGGGAGGGGAGGGGAGGGGAGGGGGAAGGGAAGGGAAGGGCATCCTTTTTAGATACTAACTGGGCCTGGGGTCAGATCTGGATTTAAATCCTGGCGTGATTGCAGACTAGCTCGCTTGACTTTGGGCTTGTTCTTTCTCCTCTCTGGGGCTCAGTTTCCTCATCTGTGAAATGAGGAACTATAGTGCCTGCTTCTGAGGGTTGGCTGAGCTTGTGTGTAAAGCACTCAACCCTGGGCCTGGCACATAGCAGGGGCTCACTAGATGGGCCATATTAACTGCCTACTCCAAGGCTGGAGGGTGTTGTAGGGAAAATAGTCAGAAAATACTCTCCAGATGCAAGGTGGCTTTAATATGTCAGGATGTGGAAGGCAGAGAGAAGCCTCGGGGTCTGGGATCTTCCGTAGGGGATGAGTATTTTTGCCTGGAATCCCTGCCCTGTTGCTACATCACTACCCTGACCATTTGCCCAGCCCAGCCCTACACGCTTCAGGTGAAAGCAGAGAGAGAGGGGGCGGGAGAGAAAAGCCCATCAAGCAGCAGGCGGAGCCTCCCTGCAGGAGTCTGGCCTGGCTGGAAGGGGAGGGGGCTGTGGGGCCAGGGACGTCAGATGCCAACAGCGCCCAGGGGACCCTTAAAGTCGCTGCGCTGCCAGGTGGGCGAGGGTGTCGGCAGAGGTCCCCTGCCTCCTCGGCTGCCTCCTGAAGCCGCCTGGGCTGCCCGTCCTGGGTACGCACCGTTGGAGCCTCCTGCCTGGTTTCTCATGCTTCTCTGTCTCTTCTCTAAGCCAATTTCTTGCTCCTTCTTCTGTTTCTGCCTCTCTGTCTATCTATTTCTGTCCTTCCCAGGCCACATCATTGCCTCTCTCTCATTCTGTCTTATCTCTTTACCTTTCTATTTCTTATTCTTTTTTCTCTTTAACTTTTCTTCTATCCCCTTTTTAATCTCCCTTTTTTCTCTGCCTCTTTCATTCCCTGCCATTGGGTTTTCTCTGTGTCTCATTCTCAATTCCTAAATTGCAGCAAACAAGGGACAAAAGGACCCTGCAATACGCCTTGGGGTAAGGTGGGCTCTGCCCTCCAAGGGCATTGACTGAGCCCACTCAAGCAGGATTGGTGAAGACGATGTCTAGGCTGGAGAGGGCTGCTGTCTGTCTCCTCGGCTGGAGGGACAGAGCCCTGGCTTTGAAGTGGTGGCACCATCTCACTCCAGGGCCATGTCTGGATTAGCCACTGTCTGGGCATTTTTTCCCCTTGCCCAACCCACTCAGTCCCCCGGGGTGGAAAGGAAGGGGTGCTGGGCACCTGGACCAGAGCTGCATCCAGAGGTCTTTGCCAGGTTCCCAGGAGGCAGCATCCTCTGGGTTAGCACTGCTGGAGAACGCCCAGGGTCTGGTGCTCCCGTATCTCTCTACCTTTCTATTTCTCGTTCTTTTTTCTCTGTAACTCTTTCTTTCTGTCCCCTTTTTGGTCTCTCTTTTTTCTCTGCCTCTTTCTTTCACTGCCATTGGGTTTTCTCTGTGTCTCATTCTCAATTCCTAAATTGCAGCAAAGCGGGGACAAACCTACCCTGCTTCGTGCCTACCCCTTCCAGGCAGCTGGCTCTGATTGCACGAGGCAGACAGACCTGTGACCCCTCCATCCAGCTATGCCCCTGCTGCCTAGCACCGTGGGCCTGGCAGGCCTGCTCCTCTGGGCTGGCCAGGCAGTGAACGCCTTGATGATGCCTAATGCTACCCCGGCCCCAGCCCGGCCCGAGAGCACAGCTGTGCGGCTCCCGAGTGGCCTGGGGGTGCCCAGGTACCGCCGGAGGCGCCACATCTCTGTGAGAGACATGAATGCCTTACTGGATTATCACAACCACATCCGGGCCAGCGTGTACCCACCTGCTGCCAACATGGAATACATGGTGAGTCCCCGTGCCCGCCCCCCCACCCCCTGCAGTGCCCCTTCTGGCAAATGCAGCCAACTCATCTTGGCCTAGAATGACTGGCTTTTAAGAGCTGGACCACTTGCCTGCCTGGCCCCACTAGCCAGTATCTGGGTGTCGACCTGTGGAAAGGGCAGGAGTTAATCTGCCCATTTTACAGATGAGGAAACTAAGGAAGTTACACAGCTCTTCCCGTGAGTCAGGGGCATGGGACTACTATGTAAGGGACGCCTTTGTGCACCAGGCACTGTATATGAGTATCATCTCCATTTTCCAGAGGAAGAAACTGAGACTCAGAGAATTAATTTGCCCAAGGTCACCCAGCCAGGATCTCAAACCAGGCCTGCCTGCTGCCACCTGGCATCACCACAACTGTTAACCATCGTAATCCCCTACCCAAGAATTTTGGCTCCCCACACTGGGGACCTGCACGGGGGTGTGTGGCTGGTACTTTCCATGCTATTGTCTCTTTGCCCTAAGGATCTGACTGACACACCCACACCATCCTCCACAAGCCCCTGGAGGCAGGCTTGGAGCAGTGGGGACAGGTACTGGGGAATCTCAGGCTGAGGAAAACCAGCAGCTGACCAGCAGAGGAAGCTGGGATGTCTCCCCTCAAAGAGGCAGGGCTGGTGGCTCTCACTCCAGCCCCCAAGAAGTCAGAGGAGGGCACCAACCTCTTTCTTATAGCTCCTCCCCTAGGGCCATTGTCCAAAATCAGCCTAGAGGGATGGGTTTCCAGCCCACCCAGAGATGTCTTTAGGGAGTTTGCCATCTGCCCCCTGAAAGACCAACACATGCCACTCGATAGCCTGAAAACTTAATTTTTTCATCGTATCCATTGACTTATCCTTGGAGTACACTTGGAACCAGGCACCGTGCTAAGCCTTATGGACACTGCTGGGAGCAGAATGGGCAAGGCTCCTTCCTTCATGGAGCTGACACTTTAGTGGGGTAAGAAAATAAGCATCAACAACAAGATATTAATATATATAAGGTAACGTGAGGTGGCGATACGGTGTTGGGAGGGGTGGGGGGAATAGGAGCTGGGACGGTAGGCAGCTAGAACACAGGGGAGCCATTGACTTGTTCATTCATTTGTTAGCACCTAGAACGCCCTCCATTTTTCAAACAAATGGCACATTGATTGAGCACCTGTTGTGTGTGTGTGGCACCTGCCCCAACAGCTGTTTAATGACTGCAGGCGTCATGGAGCAGAAAGGGTTAGATGTTTCACCAGGGACTCCAGGGAGGGCATGAACATGTAGGTTTCATGTTTAGCCTGCTCCTCCCCTCAGTTTACCCCAATGTAGCATGAGGGAAGCATTCCTCTGCTCTCCCTAAAAGACTAGGCCAGACGGCTGGGTGCGGTGGCTCACGCCAGTAATCCCAGCACTTTGGGAGGCCGAGGCGGGTGGATCACCTGAGGTCACGAGTTCCAGACCAGCCTGGCCAACATGGTGAAACCCAGTCTCTACTAAAAATACAAAAATTAGCTGGGTGTGGTGATGGGCGCCTGTAATCCCAAGCTACTTGAGAGGTGGAGGCAGGAGAATCGCTTGAACCTGGGAGGCGGAAGTTGCAGCGAGCCGAGATCCTGCCAGCCTAGGTGAAACTCTATCTAAAAAAAAAAAAAAAAAAAAAAAGATTGGACCAGACAACCCCGGGAAGGTACCTGGACCCCTCTTTGGATGCCCCATTTCTCCCTCCCTAGCTGACTTCTACTCACAGAACAGGCTGTCCAACTCAACAGCCTTTGTCCCAGCAGCCCTTCTCTCACTGCCCCAAGAAAGTTTGGCTCCCATTTCTCATTCTCACACCGACCAGGACTATAATGATCAGCGACTTGTTGAAGGCCTTATTGCCTTGCTACTCTGAGTCCTCAGTGCCTAGAGATGTTGTTTGATATTTGATGAATGAACAAATCCTATCTCAGAGAATCCCAGGAAGTCAGAGCTGGAAGGGAACTCGTATTTTATTGACATATTTTCCGGTGATAAAACTTGGGGAGTTCATACATTGGAAGGTTATAAAACTGCTAAGGAAGATGAGGAGGGCATTCACTATGTACTGATGGGGAATAATCCCTAAGACGAAAGAGCAAGGTGCAGAATAGAATGCTGCCATTTGCATATGTATATGTGTGTGTGTGTGTGTGTGTGTGTGTGTGTGTGTATCTATATAGTGAGAGCTGCTTGTACAGGTACAGAATACATACCTGTATACAGAGGACACAAGAAGCAGTGGTGACTGCCTCTTGGGATGGCATGCAGGGTGGTGGGGTTGGGGGACAAGGATAGGAGAGAGATGAGACTTTCTACTGTTCCTCCTTGGATATCTATTTTTGTTTTTGTTGTTGACACAGAATCTCGCTGTTGCCCAAGCTGGAGTGCAGTGGCACGATCTCAGCTCACTGCAACCTCTGCCTCCTGGGTTCAAGCAATTCTTGTGCCTCAGCTTCCCAACTAGCTGGGACCACTGACACACGCCACCACGCCTGACTAACTTTTGTTGTTTTTTTTTTTTTTAAAGACAAAGTTTCACTCTTGTTGCCCAGGCTGCAGTACAATGGTACGGTCTCGGCTCACTGCAACCTCCGTCTCCCAGGTTCAAGTGATTCTCCTGCCTCAGCCTCCCAAGTAGCTGGGATTATAGGTGCCCACCACCACACCCGGCTAATTTTTATATTTTTAGTAGAGATAGGGTTTCACTATGTTGGCCAGGCTGGTCTTGAACGCCTGACCTCAGGTGATTCGCCCACCTCGGCCTCCCAAAGTGCTGGGATTACAGGTGTGAGTCACCATGCCTGGCCTAATTTTTGTATTTTTAGTAGAGAGGGGGTTTCTCCATGTTGGCCAGGATGGTCTCAAACTCCTGACCTCAAGTGATCTGCCTGCCTCAGCCTCCCAAAAGTGCTGAGATTACAGGCGTGAGCCATCATGCCCAGATGGATATCTTACATATTAAAATTATGCATATTTTCACAATTTAAAAAAGCCTTTGAATTAAACATTTTTAATGTTAAAATAAACACATTTAGAAGATACTGCAAGGCCGGGTGCGATCCACCTGCTTCAGCCTCCCGAAGTGCCCTGTAATCCCAGCACTTTGGGAGGCTGCGGCAGGTGAATTGTTTGAGGCCAGGAGTTGGAGACCAGCCTGGGCAACATGGCAAAACCCTGTGTCTACAAAAATTAGCCAGGTGTGGTGGCACGCGCCTGCAGTCCCAGCTACTCAGGAGGCTGAGGTGGGAGGATGACTTGAACCAGAAGGCAGAGGTTGCAGTGAGCTGAGAAGGCGCCACTGCACTCTAGCTTGGGTGACAGAGTGAGATCCTGTCTCAAAAAAGAAAAGAAAAGAAAAAAAGAAAGAAAGAAAGAAAAAGAAAATACTATAAATACAATTTAAGAATTAGTGATTTTCTCATCCTTCTGGGTTCAGTCACTTCCAGGGACTGCTGAGAACTCCTGTATGAACACCCTCGACCCTGCTCAGAGCAGAGCCCAAGCTCAGAGTCAAGAGATCTGGGTGTGGACCCCAGCTCTGGTATGGACTCACGGTTGCCCTTCAAGTCATCAGCAAGCTGAGCCTCAGTCTTCTACTTTGTCACGGGGGTTTGTTGTAGGGTTCCAGGGAGATGGGGGAGAACCGGCACCAGGTAAATGTGCATCTCTGGACACGGTTGTGATGATGGTGGCTATTCCCCTGGAGAATTTCATTGCCTTTCTTCCCCCAGGTCTGGGACAAGCGGCTGGCCAGGACTGCCGAGGCCTGGGCCACCCAGTGCATCTGGGCACATGGGCCTTCACAGCTGATGAGATACGTGGGCCAGAACCTCTCCATCCATTCTGGCCAGTGAGTGACCCTCTGCCCTTCCTTCACTCAGTCATTCAACAAACGCTCATTGAACACTTACTCTGTACCAGGTGCTGCACTTGACACTGGGATACAGTGGTGAGCAAGGCAGACAAGCTCTCCACCTGCAGGGAGCCTGCATTCTAGTTAGGAGGGGCAGGCAAAACCCTAACAAAGTTGTGTATACATTGAATTGAGGCAAGTCTTGTTTTGAGAACAAACAAGTGCACAGATCGTCATGGAAAGTGAGGAGGGATTGGAAGACTCAGAAAATAGGATAAGGGGGCCGGGCACAGTGGCTCACACCTCTAATCCCAGCACGTTGGGAGACTGAGGTGGGCAGATCACTTCAGGTCAGTAGCTCAAGACCAGTCTGGCCAGCATGGTGAAACCCCACCTCTACTGAAAATGCAAAAATTAGCCCAGCATGGTGGCGCATACCTGTAATCCCAGCTACTCGGGAGGCTGAGGCAGGAGAATCACTTGAACCCGGGAGGTGGAGGTTACAGTGAACTGAGATTGCACCACTGCACTCCAGCCTGAGTGACAGAGTGAGACTGTGTCTCAAAAATAATAATAAATCAATAAAATAAAATAAAAATAAGGGGATAAAATAAAATAAAGATAAGTCTGAGAATGGCAAGCCCACCCTTCTGGCCTGACTTTCTCACCGCCATTCTAACTCCCAAGTCAGACTCTGGGGATCTTCTGATCTGGGTGGCCTTGGGAAGTTATTTCCACTTTCTAAACTTCTAAACCTTGGTGTCCCTGTTTCTAAAACAAAGGTGTTATCCTAGCTCAGTTCTTTCCAGACTTGTGGATTTCACAGGCCTATAAAACTGCAAAAAGATGCCTGTGAAACTGCTACAAGATGGTCAGATTTTTATTTTGCCAAATAAGGACGTTAGAAAAACAACTACCTTCCCATCTTCGCCATTCTGCCATCACCCCGGGGAGAGTGGGAAAGAATTAAGACCAGTCTTTTCAAGTGAGCTCAGTGGAAATTCAAGGCCCTGTCTGCGTTTTTTTCATGTCCTTGACTGGTCACGACCAGCACCAGCCTCTGAGAGCCGTGAATGGTTGCTCAGAGCCCTACAGAGCAGACGTCGGGTGATGCCTCCATTTCACTTCTCCTCTCCCCTGCCAGTGAACTCTTCCTGCCAGACTCCACCCCTACCCATGGCCATCATTTGAGAGGCTCACAGAGAGAAAAAAAGCGGTGTTAGAGACGAAGCTGTGCTGTCATAAATTACGGATGTGCATTCTTCCAGATTTTCTCCCTCACTAGTCATTTATGTATATTTTTATGTATTTGTGCCTCTGTCAAATATGTGTGATAGAAAAAGCCCTCAAAGGCCAGGGGCGGTGGCTCATGCCTGTAACCCCAGCACTTTGGGAGGCCGAAGCGAGCGGATCACCTGCGGTCAGGAGTTCGAGACCAGCCTGGCCAACATGGTGAAACCCCGTCTGCACTAAAAATACAAGAATTAGCCAGGCGTGGTGGTGCACACCTGCAGTCCCAGCTACTTGGGAGGCTGAGGCACAAGAATTGCTTGAACCCAGAAGGCAGAGGTTGTAGTGAGCTGAGATCACACCACTGCACTCCAGCCTGGGCAACAGAGCGAGACTCCGTCTCAAAAAAAAGAGAAAAGGTCCTCAGGTCTCCCCAGATGGCTTTTCAGACTGCAGAGGGTATCTCAGGGTGTCACACCAGTATCTGCCTTCTCCTCACATCTCGGAGGCCTAGGAGATGGTCCAAGGAGCCCTTCCTTCCCTAAAATGCAAGCTCCCCTATCTGAGATGCACCTCCTGCCTGGCCCTCTGTATGACAGTAACACATATGCTTTGTTGAGGACTTACCATGTGCTAGGTACAGGGAGGCACTTCACAAGAGCTCCGAACATGCCTGTGAGGCAGGAGCCACCGCCCTCCTGCTCCCAGATAGGAAACTGAGATGAAGGAAAGGAAGCAAAGTGACTCACCCAAGGTCACCAGCAAGTTGGCGGTCGAGCCACTTTTCCATCCTCTCACCCAGCTTCTTCCGTGTTCCCGGCCTCCCCAGGTACCGGTCCGTGGTGGATCTCATGAAGTCCTGGTCTGAGGAGAAGCGGCATTACTTGTTTCCCGCCCCGAGGGACTGTAACCCACACTGCCCCTGGCACTGCGATGGCCCCACCTGCTCCCACTATACCCAGGTACTCCTCCGTCAGGGCTGGGGGTCCTGGGATAACACATCCTGCTGCCTTAGAAGAAAAGGAATGTGTGGAGCAGATATGAGAATGCAAACAAAGACCTTTATGAGCTTCTTTTCACCAAAGAAGCGTATTCCTGGCAAGTTGTGTGCACACTGAACTGAGGTGAATCGTTTCTGTTTTTTGTTTGTTTGTTTGTTTGTTTTTTGAGACAGAGTCTCACTCTGTTGCCGAGGCTGGAGTGTAGTGGTGAGATCTCGGCTCACTGCAACCTCCACCTCCTAGGTTCAAGCGAAACTCCGTCCCCAGCCCCCAAAATTAAAATAGTTATATATATATATATAAAGAAAGAAAACGACTGGGTGCAGTGGCTCACGCTTGTAATCCCGGTAACTTGAGAGGCTGAGATGGCAGGATTTCCTGAATGCAGGAGTTTGAGACCAGCCTAGGCAACATAGCAAGACCTTATTTCTAAAAACCTTTTTAAAAATAGGCTTGGCCAGGCGACGTGGCTCATGCCTGTAATCCCAGCACTTTGGGAGGCCAAGGGGGTGGATCACGAGGTCAGGAGTTTGAGACCATCCTGGCTAACACGGTGAAACCCCATCTCTACTGAAAATACAATTAGCCAGGCGTGGTGGCGTGTGCCTGTAATCTCAGCTACTCGGGAGGCTGAGGCAGGAGAATCACTTGAACCCAGGAGGCAGAGGTTGCAGTGAGCCAAGATCGCACTACTGCACTCCAGCCTGGCCAACAGAGCGAGACTCTGTCTCAAAAAAAAAAAAAAAAAAAGGCTTGATGGTGCACACCTTTAGTCCAAACTACTTGGGAGGCTGAGACAGGAGGATCGCTTGAACCCAGGAGGTTGAGGTTGCGGTGAGCTATGATCCTACCACTGCAATCCAGCCTGGGTGACAGTGAGACCCACCGCTCTAAAAATAATAATTTAAAAAGGAAATGAATAGAAAAGTATAGAAAATATATTGGTTGGCCGAATGCAGTGGCTGACACCTGTAATCGTAGCACTTTGGGAGGACGAGGTGGGCAGATCGCCTGAGGTCAGGAGTTCAAGACCAGCCTGGCCAACATGATGAAACCTCATCTCTACTAAAAATCCAAAAAATTAGCTAGGTGTGCTGGTGGGTGCCTGTAATTCCAGCTACTCCGGAGGCTGAGGCAGGAGAATCACTTGAACCCAGGAGGCAGAGTTTGCAGTGAGCCACTGCACTCCAGCCTGGGCAACAGAGCAAGATTCTTTCTCAAAAAAAAAAAAAAAAAAAAAAGAAAGAAAGGAAAGAAAAAGAAAGAAAGAAAATATGTTGGCTAATAAAAAAAGAACAAAATCATGTATTTTTGCAGGAACATGGATGGAGCTGGAGGCCATTATCCTTAGCAAACTAATGCAGGAACAGAAAACCAAATACCACATGTTCTCATTTATAAGTGGGAGCTAAATGGTGAGAACACATGGACATGGGAATGGGGAACAACACACACTGGGGCCTGTCAGAGGGTGGAGGGCAGGAGGAGAGAAAGCATCAGAAAAAATAACTAACGAGTACTAGGCCTAATTCCTGGTGATGAAACAATCTTTACAAACCCCCATCACAAGAGTTTACCTGTGTAACAAACTGAACATGTCCCCCTGAACTTAAAACAAAAGGTAAACAATCCAAAAAAGAAAAAAAAAGAGAAACGCAGATACTTTATTTCAAATTATTAAAAACATTAGATGACTGGGTGCAGTGGCCCACACCTGTAATCCCAGTACTTTGGGAGGCTGAGGCGAGTGGATCTCCTGAGGTCAGGAGTTCGAGACCAGCCTGGACAACATGGCAAAACCCCATCTCTACTAAAAATACAAAAAATTAGCTGGGCATGGTGGTGCACGCCTGTAGCCCCAGCTACTCGGGAGGCTGAGGCAGGAGAATCACTTGAACCTGGGAGGCAGAGGTTGCAGTGAGCCAAGATATCACCACTGTACTCCAGCCTGGGTGACCGCGAGACTGTCTCCAAATAAATAAATCAATAAAAGCATTAGTGACTGTCAGAAAAAAGAAAATATATTGACTAGTCTGAAGGTAGTGCGTTCTCTCAATTGATGGTTTACAGTCAGTTACAGATCCAACTCCCTTCTCACAGCTGCCCTTGACTGAGTTCACTATGAAATGAAAGAAAACATATCACACATGAGAACATGACAAGGCTAGTGATTCATAAAATTCTTGTTCAAATTGTGTGTATATGTGTGTCTATTTGTACACCTGTAACAATATAAAAATTATTCCCTACTGTTGTAGTAAAAAGAAAAAAAAAAAAGATTGAGAAACATTATGTTACAATACAAATGCCTCCGTTTCCTCCCCCAACACCTTGGAACAGGCAGACTGTCTCTCCCAGGAAGACGTCACCCAATGCAACTGTACAACCCCAGGGAGCCCAGGTCCCACTGAGCCCTTCTCATAGCCTCCACTGTCTCTGTCCTTCATCAGATGGTGTGGGCATCCTCCAATCGGCTGGGCTGCGCCATCCACACCTGTAGCAGCATCAGCGTCTGGGGCAACACCTGGCATCGGGCGGCATACCTGGTCTGCAACTACGCCATTAAGTAAGTGCCCGCATCTAAGGCAAAGGGGGCCCTGAGGCAGGAGGGTGGGTCCTGAGAAGTCAAAGAAAGATACAGTCCCGGCCGGGCGCGGTGGCTCAAGCCTGTAATCCCAGCACTTTGGGAGGCCGAGACGGGTGGATCACGAGGTCAGGAGATCGAGACCATCCTGGCTAACACAGTGAAACCCCGTCTCTACTAAAAAAATACAAAAAACTAGCCGGGCGAGGTGGCGGGCGCTTGTAGTCCCAGCTACTTGGGAGGCTGAGGCAGGAGAATGGCGTAAACCCAGGAGGCGGAGCTTGCAGTGAGCTGAGATCCGGCCACTGCACTCCAGCCTGGGCGACAGAGCGAGACTCCGTCTCAAAAAAAAAAAAGAAAAAAAGATACAGTCCTTATCCCTTCTTCATTCTAAGTGCCCTCAATACCATATAATTTGGGTAGTTTTTTTATTAAGGCCGAGCACGGTGGTTCATGCCTAAAATCCCAGAACTTTGGGAAGCCAAGGTGGACAGATCCCTTGAGCCCAGGAGTTCAAGATCAGCCTGGGGAACACGGCAAGACCCTGTCTCTTAAAAAAAAATTAGCTGAGTGTTGTGGTGCTCATCTGTAGTCCCAGCTACTGGGGGAGGAGTGAGACAGGAGGGTCACATGGGGCTAGAGGCTGCAGTGAGCCATCATCATGCTACTGCACTCCAGCCTATGCAAGAGTTAGAAACTGTGGAAGAGTGAGAAACTGTCTCCAAAAAAATAAAAGTCAATTAATAGTCCTTTCTTCCTTCCTTCATTCCTTCCTTCCTTTCTCTTTCTTTCTTTAGAGGCCTTGCTCTGTTGGCCAGGCTGGAGTGCAGTGGCGTGATCTCAGCTCGCTGCAGCCTCCACTTCCCAGGTTCAAGCAATTCTCCTGCCTCAGCCTCCTGAGTAGCTGGGATTACAGGCGTCTGCCACCATGCCCAGCTAATTGCTGTATTTTTACTAGAGACAGGGTTTCACCATGTTGGTCAGACTGGTCTCAAACTCCTAACCTCAGGTGATCTGCCTGTATTGGCCTCCCAAAGTGCTGGGATTACAGGAGTGAGCCACTGCGCCCAGCCTATTTTCTCTTCTCTTTTTGAGACAAGGTCTTACTCTGTCACCCAGGCTGGAGGACAGTGGCACAGTCATAGCTCACTACAGCCTCGACTGGCTGGACTCAAGTAACCCTCCTCACTTCAGCCTCTCAAGTAGCTGGGACTATAGGTGCAGGCCACCATGCCTGGCTAATTTTTTTGTTTTTTGTAGAGATGGGGTCTCACTGTGTTGCCCAGGCTGATCTTGAACTCCTAGGCTCAAGCAGTCCTCCTGTCAAGGTCTCCCAAAGTCCTGGGATTACAGGCATAAGCCACTCTGCCCAGCCCAATAATCCTTTTCCTTTATCCAAGTTTGAGAATCACTGGGAGACAGACAGGACTGACACAGGTGGAAAGACGGTGTTGCTGAAGTCAGTAGTGGAGAATGTGGTTTAGATCTGCCAATACGCCAGCCAAGTAGGCTTACAAATATCTCACTACTGAATTAGACCTACACATCCAGCGGCAGGTAACACTGGACAGCCAAAGACCCCTTCTTACAAGTACAGGGCCAGCCCTCTAAGCTTACGACAAGAAAAATACAGCCAAGAACATATGCTCCCTGCAGGGAGGCAGATCCCAAAGAAAAGGAAGGAGGAACGAGTGTGCTTAGCTCCTCCAGTTTGCTGGGTGGGAGAGAGTTTAGGAGATGCCTTCATACAAGCCTCTTGGAAACAGGGAGCAAGCGTAATGAAACTTGCAGACATTACAGATTCTCAAAGAAAAACAAGAACAGGCCAGGTGCGGTGTCTTATGCCTGCAATCCCAGCACTTTGGGAGGCCGAGGTGGGTGAGTCACCTCAGGTTAGGAATTTGAGACCAGCCTGGCCAACATAGCGAAAGCTCGTGTCTACCAAAAATACCAAAATTAGCCGAGCGTGGTGGCGCGTGCCTGTAATCCCAGCTACTTGGGAGGCTGAGGCAGGAGAATTGCTCGAGCCTCAGAAGTGGAGATTGCAGTGAGCTAAGATCACACCACTGCACTCCAGCCTGTGCAACAGAGAAAGACTCCGTGTGTCAAACAACAACAACAACAACAAAACGAGAACAAATTATTTATTTATTTATTATTTATTTTGAGATGGAGTCTTGCTCTGTCACCCGGGTTGGAGTGCAGTGGCGCGATCTTGGCTCACTGCAAGCTCCACCTCCCGAGTTCATGCCATTCTCCTGCCTCAGCCTCCCAAGTAGCTGGGACTACAGGTGCCCACCACCACACCTGGCTGATTTTTTGTATTTTTAGTAGAGACGGGGTTTCACTGTCTTAGCCAGGATGGTCTCCATCTTCTGACCTTGTGAGCCGCCCGCCTCGGCCTCCCAAAGTGCTGGGATTACAGGCATGAGCCACCACGCCTGGTAAAACAAGAACAAATTTTAAGTAAACATGATATTTAGAATTCCTTTTTTTCTTTTCTTTTTTTTTTTTTTTTTCTGAGACAAGGTCTTGCTCTGTTGCCCAGGCTGGAATGCAATAACCAGATCATAGCTCACTGCAGCCTCAAACTCCTGGGTTCAAGCAATCCTCCCACCTCACCCTCCTGAGTAGCTGGGAGGACAGGCATGCATCACCACACCTGGCTAATTTTTAACATTTTTGTAGAGATGGTGGTCTCATTATGTTGCCTAGGCTGGTCTTGAACTCCTGGCCTCAAGCAATCTCCCTACTTGGCTTCCCAAAGTGCTGGGATTATAGGTGTGAGCCACGCACCGTGCCTGCCCCAGAATTCCAAAATTACGTAATAACCACATTTTACTGTCACATAGCCTTTGATCATTTGCAAACTACTTTCACATTATCTCACTGAAGACATGAAAAAGGAAAAAAGGGGGAACACTAGTAAAACATTATTTCTTTTTACAAATTAAGAAATTGAGGCTCAGGGAAGTTGAGTAATTTACCAAATGTCACAAAACCAATAAGTAGTAGAGCTGGTTCAAAAGAATCAGTTTTTGATTTCAAATTCCTTCTATTGCATTATTCTGATGTTCTTGAAGTCATTAGTAGCCTGAAAAAAATTATCAAAATAAGATACTTGTTGTTTGTTAGATATGGCATCTATTGACAAAGTGTCACATTACAGCCCAGCTTTATCAGACACAGAAGAATACAAAACCAAATTCCATTACAAATAGCTTCTAATATATATATATATATATATATTTTTTTTTTTTTTTTTTTCACAGTGGCGAGGCCACAGCTCACTGCGGCTTCGACCTCCCAGGCTCAAGTTTTCTAGTTTGTTTGTTGACATATCAAATGTTTGAAGCATTGAGTGTTATTAGTATAGTTGTTAAGATTTTTAGTCTCTGGGGCCAAGACTGCCAGGGTTCAAATTTGTGTTCTTACTTAACTTCTCCATTCCTGTTTCTTCATCTGCAAAATGGGAATAAAATAATATCCAGTCTTGGAACTGAGTGAGATAACCCAGGTAATACCCCCAGGCTGATAATAAATGGGGAATAAGACTGATTCCTATTGTTATTACAATAGACCTAGGCTTGATTCCCCTCTGCAATGCATGTACGAAGCATTTGAATACATCATTTTATCTCAGGCCTCGGCCTTCCCCTTCCCTTCTTTCCTTCCCCTTTCCTTTTCCCTTTCCCATTTCCCCTTTCTCCTTTCTCCTTTCCTTTGCTTTCTTTTCTTCTGTCTGGCCCTGTCACCCAGACTGGAGTGCAGTGGCAGAATCTCAGCTCTGCTACCCCCACCTTCCCGGTTCAAGCAATCCTCACACCTCAACCTCCCCTGAGGTTGGGACTACAGGTGTTCACAACCATGCTTGGCTATGTTTTGTTTTCTGTTTTTGTTTTTGTTTTTTGTAGAGACGGGGTCTCGCCATGTTGCCCAGGCTAGTCTGGAACTCCTGGGCTCAAGCGATCTGCCCACCTCAGTCTCCCAACGTGCTGGGACTACAGGCATGAGCCACCAAGTCCAGCGCCTTTAGGGGTTAATAATACCTGGCTCACAGAATTTAAGGATTAAAATATAATGTGAGGCCGGGTGTGGTGCCTCACGCCTGTAATCCCAGCACTTTGGGAGGCCAAGGCAAGTGGATCACCTGAGGTCAGTGACCAGCCTGGTCAACATGGTGAAACCCCATCTCTACTAAAAGTACAAAAATTAGCCAGGCATGGCGGTGCGTGCCTGTAGTTCCAGCTACTTGGGAGGCTGAGGCAGGAGAATTGCTTGAACCTGGGAGGCGGAGGCTGCAGTGACCCGAGATCATGCCACTGCACTCTAGCCTGGATGACAATGCAAGACTCTGTCTCAAATTAAAATAAAATAAAATAAGCCTCTGTGGTGCCTTGCCCATAGTACCTGCTAAATAAATGGTGGCCATGACTAGAACTAAGTTATAAACTCTTGGGCGTGGGAAATTGACAGTTTTCATTTCTTTCTTTTTTTTTGTTTTTTGAGACGGAGTCTTGCTCTGTCGCCCAGGCTGGAGTGTAGTGGTGCTATCTCTGCTCACTGCAAGCTCTGCTTCCCGGGTTCACGCCATTCTCCTGCCTCAGCCTCCTGAGTAGCTGGGACTACAGGCACCCGCCACCACGCCCGGCTCGTTTTTTTGTGTTTTTAGTACAGACGGGGTTTCACATTGTTAGGCAGGATGGTCTCCATCTCCTGACCTCGTGATCCGCCCGCCTCGGCCTCCCAAAGTGCTGGGATTACAGGCGTGAGCCACCACGCCCGGCCAACCGTTTTCATTTCTATATCCTTCTACTACAGCGATTGCAACCCTTTTTTTTTAAGCAGAACTTTTTTCTAAGTGGTTAAATTAAACAAAAAAAGAACTCCATGTCATCCCAGGTATCACCACTACCCACTCTCCCTGCCCCCAAACTTCTGAGAGCACCTTTTGAAAACTGAACTGACAGCAGCTGGCACAAATCCTGATGTTCAATAGGTGCTCTGGGAGTGTTTGTTGAATGACTAAATGATCGAATGACTCCTGTTAGGAAACCAGAAGTGAGTGTTTTTCTGAGCACTTCAGCTGATTTCACTCACGGTCACTCAACAATCACGTTTGGAGAAAAAAGATTCTATTTCCGCTCAAAGGTGTGTTCATTTAAGGTGTGAGAAAACAAGGCATTGGGGCTTGGCAAAGATAATGAATGTCTCAGGCCCATGGTGACATTATCAGGCAGCCACGAGCAAGGGCCAGAGGAGCAACTTTAGGCTCTGAAAGGAGAAAGAGGGAGAAAAAGACTGGGCACAGTGGCTCACGCCTGTAATCCTAACACTTTGGGAGACCAAGGTGGGCAGATCACTTGAGGTCAGGAGTTCGAGACCAGCCTGGCCATATGGTGAAACCCCGTCTCTACTAAAAATACAAAAATTAGCCAGGTGTGGTAGCACGTGCCTATAATCCCAGCTACTCAGGAGGCTGAGGCATGAGAATCGCTTGAACCCAGGAGGTGGAGGCTGCAGTGAGCTGAGATCGCGCCACTGCATTCCAGACTGGGTGTCAGAGTGGGACTCCCTCTCAAAACAAAACAAAGAAAAAGAATAAGAAAATCAACCCTTACAGGGGAGGCACTAATTGGTAAGGCACTAATTGGCCAGGCACAGTGCTAGGTGCATACATACATGTGATCTTTGCTGAATCCCTTAGAAAGAGGAGGTCTTCTCTTGGTTTACAAGAGAAACCAAGGTTTACAGGTCAGGCACAGTGGCTCATGCCTGTAATCTCAGCACTTTGGGAGGCAGGAGGACTGCTTGAGTCCAGAAGTTCCAGACCAGCCTGAGCAGTATAGTGAGACCCCCATCTCTGCAAATAATTAAAAAATTAGCTGGGCATGGTGGCATGTGCCTGTAGTCTTAGCTACTCAGAAGACTGAGTTGAGAGGATTGCTTGAGCCCAGGACGTCAAGGCTGCAGTGAGCTATGGGTGACAGCAACACCCTGTCTCAAAAACAAAAAACAAAAAACAAAACAAAAATTAAAAAAAAAAAAAAGGAAAGAAAAAAAGAAACCAAAGCTTGCAGATGTGACTTGCCCCAGGTCCCAGGGCTGGTCAGTGGCAGCGCTGAGATCTGGACATCTGTGTGAAGGTTGCTCACCTAATGCTCCTCTGTCTCCCTGGGACCTTTTCTCTTCCAGGGGCAACTGGATTGGCGAGGCCCCGTACAAGATGGGAAGGCCGTGCTCCGCCTGTCCCCCCAGTTACCAAGGCAGCTGCAATAGCAACATGTGCTTCAATGGGCTGAAATCCAACAAGCTCCCGTGATTCTGAATTTTCTCTGGGCTTTGGTGTGCCGCCAGCTGGGCCTGACCCTCCATGTCCTGCCCTCAAAAAACTAGGTGGAGAAATAATTTCTTCTTTAAAGGAGATGTGTTAGAATTACCCCCTATTTAATTTTCCCTCCTAGATTCCCTTTCTTAAATGTCCAACATGGGTCAAAAGAAAATGACCTCCTTGCCTGCCTTCTTTCCTAGTTGCATCTTTCTTTTCTTGGGCCTCCGGGAAAGAGTCCTGCATCTTTCATTAATTCAGTTCTCAGAGAACCAAGGCTGGAAGGCATAGAACTGGCACCTTAGGATCAGGCATAATGGCTCACACCTATAATCCCAGCATTTTGGGAGGCTGAGGTGGGAGAATCACTTGAGTCCTGGAGTTGGAGAACAGCCTGGAAAGCATGGCAATACTCCATCTCTATTTAAAAACAAACAAACAAACAAAAAACCTGGCACCTCAGTTTTGTAACTCTCAGGCTTTGCCAAAACCAAATGACTTTGTCCATCCAATGAAAGGAATTCCACCAGGTGTGGCTGTTCACACCTGTAATCCCAGCATTTTGGGAGGCTGAGGTGGGTGGATCATCTGAGGTCAACAGTTTGAGACCAGCCTGGCCAACACGGTGAAACTCCATCTCTACTAAAAAGACAACAATTAGCCAGGAGTGGTGGCTCTCACCTATAATCCCAGCTACTCGGGAGGCTGAGGCAGGAGAATCGCTTGAACCTGGGAGGCGGAGGTTGCAGTGAGCAGAGACCGAGCCACTGCACTGCAGCCTGGGGACACAGCGAGACTCTGTCTAAAAAAAGGAAGGAAGGAGGGAGGGAGGGAGGGAGGGAAGGAAGGAAGGAAGAAAGGAAGGAAACCTGCTTTCATTCATTCCATAACAGTCAACCAGTTTCTGGGCAGCCTTTGAGGACTTGTGATTCCCTCCCTGAGTTGGGCGCATTTCAGATCCATGACTTCAAAAAACATTGAAATTGGCTTGTGGACATCCCCCACCCCCACCCCCACTGCATGGTATTGGAGCCACCGCAGAGTCTAGGCCCCCCTTTTTACAGATGGGTACACTGAGGCTCAGAGCAGGGTGTAACTTACCCAGAGCTGCACAGCTTGTCTTTGATGGCCAAGGTGGGAGCTCAGTCTCTGATGGCCCCTTCCCACTTCCTTGGCTCTCAGAACTGAGAAGTGAAAACCAAAGTTGGCCTGAGGGGACTCTCTCTGGGCCTTTTTTTCTCTTTCTGTCTCTGCCTCGGTCTCTTTCTTTTGTCTACTGTCCGTTCTATCTCTGCCTGTTTTTGTTTCTGTCTGTGTCTCTGATTCTTTTTCTTCCATATCATCTTACTCTCATTCCAATAAACCATTTCTCCTCTTCCCGCCATCCCACCCAGGGATCATAGCACACAAAAGTCCTTTTGTCTCCAGAGATAGTAAAATCTCCTCCCTCAGACCTTGCCCTGCAGCTGGGGCCCACTCCCTGCCTGTCTGGAGAGCTCCTCCTTTGAAGACCTGGGATGGAAAACAGGCCCTTTTCCGTGGAGTCCCTACATTGTCCTGGATGGAATGAGTTTTCTCATCCTGTGCATGTCACCCCCTCCCATCCCACCCCCCAATAAAGTCTTTTGAGATCCTGTGTAGTGGGTCTTTCTGGTCCCTCCTTCTCTCAGCTCCCAAGAGGGTCAAAAGACAAGGAATGGGAACTGGGTGGGGGAAGATGGGTGAGAGGAAAACCAGCTCAACTGGAAGACCAGGGGAAGGAACTAACAGCGCTTTGGGCCCTGCTCTGCAGAAGGCTAGATCAATGCACAAGTGCATGCACATACACTATTGCTCCATTTTACAGATGAGATAAATGAGGCGTGGAGTGAGTACTAATTTCTAAATGCTGGAAATGAGTGAAATAAGAGAATTAAGAGGTCAGGCGTCGTGGCTCATGCCTGTAATCCCAGCATTTTGGGAGGCCAAGGCGGTCAGATAGTTGAGGCCAGGAGTTCGAGGCCAGGAGTTCGAGACCAGTCTGGGCAACACAGTGAAACCCTGTCTCTACTAAAATTACAAAAATTAGCCAAGCATGGTGGGGCACGCCTGTAATCCCAGCTACTCAGGAGGCTGAGACACCAGAATTGCTTGAACCCAGGAAGTGGAGGTTGCAGTGAGCCAAGACTGCACCACTGCACCCCAGGCTGGGTGACAGAGCAAGTCTGTGTCTAAAAGAAAAAAAAAAAGAGAGAGAATTAAGGACACTGTTGTGAGTTCATTATTCTTAGACTATATCTTTCCTACTTTATTTTTTGGAATGGGCTCTTGAAGGCAGTATCAGAAATGGAAAACCCAAGAGATCACGTGGAATTCCCACCTTACAGTGGCACTTTTTGCTTGTCTCTTCCCTGGCACGGTGGCTCACACCTGTAATCCCAGCACTTTGGGAGGCTGAGGAAGGTGGATCACCTGAAGTCAGGAGTTCCAGACCAGCCTGACCAACATGGTGAAACCCCGTCTTTACTAAAAATACAAAATTAGCTGGGCATGGTGGTGCGCACCTGTAATCTCAGCTACTTGGGAGGCTGAGGCAGGAGAATCGCTTGAACCCAGGAGGCAGAGGTTAAAGTGAGCTGAGATTGTGCCATTGCACTCCAGTCTGGGCAACAAGACAACAAAACTCTGTCTCAAAAAAAAAAAAAAGAACAGATTCAATGAAGCTTCTTGAGCCTGTTTTTGTATCTGTAAAATGGGAATATTGACTGGGACAATTCAATGACATTAAGAACATACAATGCTGACAAAACTAACCAGTTCATAAATGCCAGTGGTTGTCATTCTCATTATCCTGGTGCTCAAGAAGGCGATGTGAGACCTGTTGAAACAGCACGGACTTTGGGGTCAGATGATGCTGAATTCCAGTTCTGTGTCAGCTCCTTCCTAGTTATGTGACCCCAAGATGCCACTTCATGCAGGGGGTCACATACACTTAAATCTCTAGAACATTTTGGGAAATAGACATAGGGTTAGCAAACTTCCCCCACCCCCATATAAAAATATTAATACTTTTTTTTTTTTTTTTGAGATGGAGTCTGACTCTGTCACCCAGGCTGGAGTGCAGTAGCACAATTTCGGCTCACTGCAACATTTGCCTCCTGGGTTCAAGCGATTCTCCTGCTTCAGGCTCCCAAGTAGCTGGGATTACAGGGGCTCACCACCATGCCCAGCTAATTTTTGTATTTTTAGTAGAGATGAGGTTACACCATGTTGGCCAGGCTGGTCTCGAACTCCTGACCTCAAGTGATCCACCTGCCTCGGCCTCCCAAAGTGCTGGGATTACAGGCATGAGCCACTGCGCCCAACCAAGAATATTAATACTTTTTTTAAAAAAAATCGAACATACATTTATTTATTTATTTATTTATTTATTTATTTATTTATTTTGAGATGGAGTCTCGCTCTGTCGCCCAGGCTGGAGTGCAGTGGTGCGATCTTGGCTCACTGCGACCTCTGTCTCCCAGGTTCAAGCGATTCTCCTGCCTCAGCCTTCCGTGTGCCACTATGCCCGGCTAATTTTTTTATTTTTAGTAGAGACCAAGTTTCACCATGTTGGTCAGGCTGGCCTCAAACTCCTGACCTCATGATCTGCCCGCCTCGGCCTCCTAAAATGCTGGGATTACAGGCATGAGCCACCACGCCCAGCCCCAAAATCTAACGTTTGTTATCACTGTTGTTTTACAAAAGAAAGGGCATTTTAGTGCAACCCATGTCCATCCATAGTGGCTGAAGGTCCCTCTCAAGTGGTTGATAAAGCTGAAAAAAGAGACTATGAGGAGAAAATAGGAATGTATCAATTAGCTATTTTAGAGGCAGGGCAAACTATGAGCTAGGTGTTTCTATAAGGAAATGAAATAATTTACCAAAAAACATACAGCAAGGAAACAGTAGAGCTGGAGTTTTCTGATTTTTCTGAGTCCAGAATTTGTTTCACTGTTCTCATTTCAGTTCTCTCTAACAGGATGAATGACCTTGATTTCAGAATCCCCAAGCAGGTGGTGAGATCCAAAATTGAGACAAAAGAAATGGGGCTGTTCCAAAAAAAAACCTAGGTGGTAGGTGTCTAACATGTCAGGGAGCTAAAACAGGGTGTGCAGGTTTCAGCAGCAGGTTGAATTTAGAATGGGGAAGGAGACCAGAGGAGGCGCCAGACAGGATGACTTTGTCCCATTGGCCTGGAGGCAGACCCATGTTTCTCCACCCCTCATATCACCCTCCAGTTTGTAACAGTATCTTTGAATGACGATCTGATTAAGGTCGGTCTCCTCCATTAGTCCACAAGTTTTGGGGGTACATCTACTTTGCTCATTTCCATATCACCAGAATCTAGCACAAGGCCTGGCACATAGTAGGTGCTCAATAAATATGTTAGATGAAAGCAAGATAACACCTCTATGTACTAGCGGTGACACTCCAGGCATGCAATTTCTGTCCTTCAGTCTCTTCATCTCAAGGTTTAATTTAAATGTGATAACGCCTGTATGCAGCTCCCAGCATCCAGTAGGCACTCACTAAACACAGTTCTCCACCTGCCCCTCCCTCGGTTTTCCCACTACTTCCTGAATGGTGACACACCCATAGTTTGGAGCCATAAAACCCAACCCAGGTTGGACTCTCACCTCTCCAGCAACTTCTGCTCAGGCCCTGTCCTCAAATTGGGGGGCTGATGCCCCCATACACCTGGCTCTGGGTTCCCCTAACCCCAGAGTGCAGGACTGGGACCCGAGTGGACCTCAGGTCTGGCCAGGTCGCCATTGCCATGGAGACAGCAACAGTCCCCAGCCGCAGGTTCCCTAAGTGACTGGTTACTCTTTAACGTATCCACCCACCTTGGGTGATTAGAAGAATCAATAAGATAACCGGGTGGTGGCAGCTGGCCGCACTCACCGCCTTCCTGGTGGACTGGCTCCTGGTGGCTCTGCTGCTGCTGTGAGCGGGCCCCTGCTCCTCCATGCCCCCGGGTCTCCGGCTGGGTGGGCTTGGCCATGGTCAGTGTGAACGCGCCCCTCGGGGCTCCAGTGGAGAGTTCTTATGGTAAGTGGGGCTGGGGGGAGACTGGACAGGGCGGGGCTGCGGTCAGCTTTGGGAGGCCGTGGGACACCTCCCCGTGTGTTTCTTATGGGCCCAAAGCCCCTCCTAGAACTCCACTGGAAGGGCAGGAAGCCCCACGGAGGCAACGTGACTGCTTCCCTAAGCTCTCAAGCCGGGGCATGGCCTGTTTGGTGCGAGAAGTGCTGGGAGGGGCCCAGAAGCCCTGAGGCAGGAGCTTGGCTCATTTTGTCTGTCCAGAGGCCTTCCTGGGAATGCATCTCGGTGGTCTTTTCAAAACCCCACAGAGGGTGGGGCTTGGAAGCACCGTCCTGCTTCGCTGCGGGGCAAATTGAGGTCCACCGGGAGAGCCTTGCTGGGCCTAGGCCACGTTGCTGGTGCATTGTCAAGCTGGGCGTGGGACCTGGGCGCCTGGGTCCCTCCGCACCTCCTTTGGCTCTGGATAATGGGGAGGAGGTAGAAAGCGCGGCGCAGCGTGGAGCGCTGGAAAATGGGAATATCTTGTGCGGACGCGTGAAACTC